TCTGCTTCCCCTCTGTTCCATTGTGAGTGGCCTGCCTCCATCCTCCCTTCCCTCCCCGCTTCTCTATCCTTATTCCCCTCCCCCTCCCCTCCTCTTCCCCCACCCGCCCTCCGTTGCTCTCCTTTCCTCCCTTCTCTCCTCTCGTCTTTTCTCTGAGTCCTTCTCCCTCGCCTCCTTCCTTTCTTCTTCCTGGGTTAAAAATAATCAACTTTCTGGGAAGCAGCCGCTCCTGCTGAGCCTCCCTCCCCACACTTGGGAGCCCCTGAGAATAGCTTTCTGCGGTTCTCAGCTCCAGCCCCTCCCCTCCCCTCCTCCCCCTCCCCTCGAGCTGACTAATAAGCCGGTCTCCGCGGCAGAGCCAGCTCGGCTGGAAAGGCATTAAACCGCTTCGTGTCCAGACTGCGGGACCGATGCGCAGCCTCTGCAGACCGGCCCGGAGGGGCCAGCGGCCCCGGCAACCCTGGCGGCTTCCCGGCCAGGCGCTCTGAGCCGCACGTGTCAGCGGCTCAATCAATATTGATGGCTGGATGAACTTTGCCCTCTGACCACCAAACCCACCGCTTATGCAGCTAACTCGGGGCTCGGTGGCAGCGAAGGGGCATCTGGGGAAGTGTCAGGCGCGCACACTGAAGGGATAAGGGAGACAAATGAGTTGCGGCCACGTGGAGCGTGTGGTTAGGCCAGGAAGCCTCCCTCTGCTAGGCCTGGACACCTTGCCCACCCCATCTCACCCCGGGGGCCGTTGGGCCCCGCCCAAGGAGGGCCGGGCCACTCTGTAACGGGTAGGCCAAGGGCAAGGAAGGATTCAAACTGTCCTGGGACCCAAGAACGTCTACCCGTGGTCTGGCCTTTAGTGGTCATTGTCTCTCATCTTGCAAAACGGGGAACTGAGGCCCAGAGGAGGCAGAACGTCTCCAAGTGCCTGCCTTAGACCTTAAGAAGAGACCTTCAGGTCCAGCACAGGGGATTCTGCGGGTGTAAGGTGGGGAGACATCAAGGTCAAAGGTGACGGGTAGTTGGTGAGAGAAAGAACGCAGGCGCTGCTCTTCCCCCGCCGGCTCCGCCCACTCCAAGTGGTCCATGCATTACCTCACCGCGGCGCACGCCCATTGGCTGGTTCCACCAGAGGCCGGCCCAATGCGGCGGAGCTGTTAACCCTTTCGGCCCCGTGGGCTAAGACGTGGTGTTACCACCTGTTTCCGCGGCCCCACGTGGCCCAAAGGAGAAAGAGAAAAGGCAGCACGGGGGCAGGTCGTCGACCGGAGAGCCCAGTGGTCTGAGCACTGGATCCATCAGCCTGATTTGGGCCTGGCCCCGGCCAACAGGCTGTGTAACCTTGGGCAACACCTCACTCAGCCTCACCTCACTAAGCCTCCTTCCCTTGTTTTCTCAGCTGTAAAAAGAAGTGAATGATGCAACTCCTGCCCTCCCCAATCCCTTCCCCGAGCATTTGCCAAGTGCCCGCGCACGTGGGCTGCCTTTCCACATTGCCTCCTTGCTGCAAGAGGCACCGTTATGATTAGGGTTTTCAGAGGAGGAGACTGGCTCAGACCTGCGAAGCCGCCTCCAAGGTCACACAGCAAGAAAGTCACAGAGCTGGGATTTAACCCCGAGTCTGTGAGCTTTCAGAGCCTGCACTCCTACCCAGGGCAAGAGGCTGCTTCTGCTGGAGGTTGCTGTTTCCAGGAGATCTTGGTCCCATAGGGGCTCCAGGACTCACTTCCCCTGCCAGTCAGAACACCACGCACCAGTGTGACCAAATAACACCTGTGACAAGCTGGAGAGCCAGGGCCTCCGTGGAGGAAAGGTTTCTGGGAAGAGGAGGGGCTGCAGCTGATCATTCAAAGAGGGAAGCAGGAGGACCCTCTGACAAAGACAGTGGGACTGGGCAGGCACAGTGAGAGCGCGTGAGTGGGGTCAGGAAGCTTGGAAGGAAGCCTGCAGAATCTGTCAGGGGCCAGCCTGTTGGTCAAGGGTCAGTCCTGCGAGGGGAGCAGCTCTGGGGCTCTGGAAGGCTGTTCCCACGGGCAGCTCTGGGGGGGGGGGGGCAGGACCCCAGCAGGAGGCCCACGCACCTCAGGTCTCAGTGTTTACAAGTTATACACCAAACCAACGAACTGCTAAATAGAATAGGTTCTGTTCTCTGACCTTGACAAAACACCTTCCCAAGGACAACTACCCCTGGAAGGCTGGGTTTGTATTTAGAAGCCTGGGTTCCAAGCAGGAAGTAGCAGCGTGGGAGAGGTGAGCCTGCCTGTGGTTTTCCACTCGGCCACTCTTTCATCCTTTTCCACGAGAGGGTTTTGTGTGCTCAGGTATGGACACTCCAGCCTGTGTGCACAAAGTCTGTCCTCACTCCCTGCAAACAGCCACATCTTGGCCACCCCTAGGGCTTAAGAGTGCCCAGTCAAATGGGTGCCTTAGGGCTGACTGCCCTCAGGAGGAAGGACCCAGGAAACGGATTAGGCAGGGGATTCCAGGGGGATTCTAGGGGGGCAGCTCATGGACCTAGCTGGGCACATCCCCTTAGACGCAGGATTCCTGGTCTCACCCCGTGAGAGCAGGGCTAGAATGTGCCGTCTAACGCCTGGGACTCAGCCCAAGGGTGCTGCTGAGGTGCCTGGGCACTGCCACAGCTGGGGTGGCTCAAGCTGGGGGCAAGATCTCCCGTCCTTCTTGAACTTGCTCTGGACCATCACTTCTGCCCTGTACTCTAACCCTGGCCAGATCCTAGGTGCCACCCTGAACTCTTCCTGCCCAACCCCCAGCCCCAATACTTACCAAGACCTGAGACCATCCAAAGACCTGAGACCTTGGTAAGACCTTGGTCTTACCAAGACCATCCAAAGAAGTCAGCTCCCTTCCCCTCTGCCCACTGCCCTTGCCGCTCTCCAGACTGGCTCCTGGATCCCACTCTGTGCCTACCTCCCTGACCAATTTGCCCTCCACGTTGGCCAGACAGATTTTCTTAAAATGCAAGCCAGACTACTTCTTTCCCCCTCTAAGCATCTCTGGCTCTCTGGGCTCTCGAAGCATCCTTCCCAAGCTCCAGATGTCTGCCTCCCCTCAGCCTCCCCTCCCCTCCCATCACCTTTGGTTCTGAGCTCCAACCCTTTGCATCTGTATGTCTTTTCTGCTGCAGCATCTGTGTGCATGTTCTTCCCTCTGCTAGTGCTTCCTGTTCTTCATCTCACCAGTCTCAGCTTAAGTGTCCCCTCCCCAGGGGACCCTTAACCCTCCCTGAACCCCTGGACCAGCAGAAACTGGGCGTAATGAACTGACTCGCTCCGGAGTTGCCTGTTTCAGGTGTGTTTCCCACCTGGACTGTGGGTGCCCAGAGGGCAGGCTCAGTTAGTTTTGCTGGCTGCTCCATCTTTGGTGCTGGCAGAGTGCCTGGCCCAGAGTAGGTGACAGTGAAGTTTCATTGGACAGATGGGTCTGCACTGGACTAGAAATCAGGATGCAGAACAACAACGGCTAATATCTATTGCCTGCTTACTGTGTACAGGGCCCTCTTTCTAAGCACAGCATGTGTGGTCAGTCACTTATTCCTCACAGTCATCTTTGAAATAGGAACTTTATCTGACCTTCCTACAGAATGAGGATCCTCAGGCACAAGAGGGTTCAGAGACTTAGGCTCACAGCTGGCAAGCAACAGACGAGATTTGCACCCAGGCCTTTCCAAAGACCATGATGGTGGGGGGCAAGATTGGAGGCGGTGAGTCCAGAGGAGGGGCAGCGGTGGTGGAAGGCCTCTGTGTGAGTGTATGAGTGCATCGTATGGGCAGTGTGTTTGTTGAACGGTTGGTGAGATGCACAAGGCGTAGGCGTGTCTGCAGTCCGTGGGGTGTGGAGTCCGTGAGTGTGCATGTGTGTGTGCATGCGCCTCTGTGTTGGTGATCCCTGCAGTGGGGTGCCTCTCTGCCTGTGTGTGGTGTGACCCGCGTGATGTGGGGTGATGAGTGTTGGTGTGTGTGTATGTTGTGGGGTGGTGGTAACTGGGACAACTCCCCAGGGGAAGAGCTAAGGAGGGGACGTTAACTAGGAAAATAGGAGATCAGAGAAAGTGCTCTGGCCAGAAGGGAGCAGGGAACGGCCCTTGCAAAGGCCTGGAGGCAAGAAGAGGCAGCCTGGAGCTCTGGGGCACTTGAAAGAGTTCCAGGACGACTGGGGGATGGGGAGGGAGAGGCAGGGATGTGGGGGCGGCAGGGCAGGCCTTCCCCTGTTAGCTGGAGGCTGTGTGTGTGGTGGAGGGCAGAGCAGCCCAGACAGGCTGAGCCACACTGGCCACGTGGGAGGGGCAGATGCCGGGTGGAGCGCCTGGCTGGGAGGCAGCCTGTTCTGGGGCTCCTGACCTGAGCCTAGTCTCTGCTCAGCCAGAGAGCAGTAGCTGAAAGGTTCTTAGTTTCCCATCTATAATTTGGGTCACGAGATTTTTGTGCTAAAGGCCCCCAAAGAGGCTAAGAGCTGCAGATGTTTTTGGCGCATTCTCTCTGGGCTGCTCTGGCGAAGGGCTGGGCAGGCATTTGGTAAGAAGTTTTCCGAGCACCCCGAGAGGCCAGAGTCTCTGAAGGTGGCAGGCCCTGGCACAGTGCTCAGCTGTTAGCTCACTGGCCTGGGGGCACAGGTGGGGTGGGGGCGGGAGTCAGGATGTGAACCCAGGGGACCGGACTCCAGTTCAATAACAGCTCCTCCGAGGTGTTCACACTGCAACTTGTCTTTTCTTGTTTGATCCTCTATGCTCGTAGATTCCACATGGTTATTATATCGGATGATTCGTCCTGCTTTAGAGATGGCGAAGCGGGCCAGTGACCCACGGCCTACCCAGGACTCACTCACTCCAGCCGGTCCTGCTCTGGAACACTCCACTGGACAGGCTGTGAAGTACAGTGGTTTTCCTCAGCATGTACCTTAACGGTGTCCTGGCCCAGGGGTGACAGTGTGTGGTGCCCAGAAAGAACTTGGAACCGGTGACTCAAACTCTGCTGTCCACCTGCTGTGTGACCTTGGCTAGTCTCTTCCCATCTTTGGGCCTGGGTTCATCCAGCTGTACAATTCTCTTACTGAAAGTCTGGGAAGGTTGGTTCTGCTAAGGGGCAAATGAGGAAATTGAAGTTTAGAGAGGTTAAAGGATTTACTCAAGGTCAAGCAATCCGCATCAGCTGACTTCGGACTTTAATATGGAACCTCAGGGTGAGCCCTTCACTGCGGCCTCCTCCCCAGCCCCCAGGAGCGGCGTCCTGCCCCCCGCGGCCCCGCAGCGCCTGGCTGACGCGCCTCACGCGGTCCCTGGCCCCGCCAGTTTGACGTCAGGCCGGGCCAGCGGGGCCTCTCTCTGCACAAACAGACGGAGCGGGCCGGGGGCGGCGATGACTCAGGGCCCCGAGACGGGCCGGGAAGCGGAAAGTTTTGTGCGGATGACATCACCACCGGGCCGCGAGGGCGGGAGGGGGCCGGCTCCGGGAAACCGCGGCCTGGCGGGCCGCCCAGCCTGGGGCAGAGAGCAGAGGGGCGGCCGCGGGGCGGGGGCTGGAACGCCGGACTCCACTCTTGGCTGCGCCGAAAAATACCCCCCGCCAGCCCCTTGCCCCAAGTACCGGCCCAGGAGCCCGATCCGCGTTCGCAGTGAGGAGCGGGCTCCACTCGCATGCGAGGACGCCGTGCTCCCCAGCGCTCCGGAGGCGCCGCATCCATCCTGCTGCGTCCCTGCATTTTAATTACCGCCACATTAATATTCATGAGCCGGGGCTCGAGGGGACCGCGGGCTGTCATTTCCCTCGCCCGCGCACTTCCCCCCACCTTTTCCCGGGCTGAGTCGTGGATTTTTTTCCTCCTGCTCCCAACCCCGCCCGCGCCACCAGTTGTTGGTGCGCAGCAGATACGGGGTGCAGGAGTGTGAGCGTGTGTGGGTGCCGTGAGCAAGGGTGAAGGCACTAGTAGACCGGGCTCAGAGAGGGGAGCTGAGTGTGGGTGTGGCACGTGCCCGTGTGTCTCTAGGCGACCTCAGGACCTGGGTGCGGGTCTGGCCGAGGCAACTGTGTGGTGCACATGTAGCCTGGGCCTGGGGAAGGGTCAAGGCTGCCCCCGGTAGCAGGACCTGCTGGTACAAATGGACGCAGGCCTGGAGAGGGGCTGGGCCTTGCTCAGTCATCCAGTAAGTCAGTGGCACCGTGGTAATCAAGCCCAGGGCCTGGCTGATCCGCTCTCTCCTGCTCCATGGTCTCTGTGCTGTTGTTTATGACAACGGTAGACAGAATTTCCTGAGCTAGCACCTTACATGTGACCTGCTCAGCAAACCTGCGCAGGAGGCGCTGCTTCTGTCCCCTTGGCAGGTGGGGAAACTGAGGCAACTGGTCCAGTTAGTGAGGGGTGGAGCTGGAGCCCAGAAATGTCTGAGTCCAGAGTCCCTGCCTTTAACAACTGCACCATGCTTCCCCCGTGGAATTGTGGGTGGGTTTCCACTGGGGTGATCTGGGGGTGGCTGAAAGTGCCTCAGGGCCCCAGGCAATTCCAGGCCCCAGAGTCAGTGGGGGTGTCTCACCAGAAACAGCTCCCTGCTTCATCCTTACCCAATGGAGCCTCTTTACTGTAGCCCTTGGCTCTCCCCCAAATCCTGTCCTCAGCCACCTGTGCATCAGGGAGTCCTTGGGAGGCTGGAGGTCTTGCTTCAAAAAGAAGACAGACAGACTTCAGGCTCCTGGTCCTCCTCCCTGGGTTGGGGTCGGGCAACCCCTCATTCATTCATCTGTTCATCTAGCACAAGGATGAACATGTACAGGCTTATGTGCCTGCTACGTGCCGATCACTGCCCTGGGCACTGGGATTTTTAGAGTTTACACAGAGCCCACGCTACTCTGTTCCCAACTCATCATCTCCCCCCAGTGCTCTAAAAAGGCTCCCCCCCATCTCTGTGTGTGCATGTTCACTAGGGGTGGGGGTCAAGGGGCACCTGTGCACAAAGGACAGCTTGCCACCCCTAGACTGGCCACGGCAGTCTGGGATGTACAGACGCTGGCGGTGGGGCAGGGCGGAAAAGTACGGCGTCCTCTTTGGGCTGGTGGAGAGCCAGTCACGCTGAGCTAAGCCGCCTGGGTCTTTGCTTCTGTCCCTTGGAAACTGTCCTCCTCCAGCCTCTAAGCCAACTAATCCCAGGCGCTGGTCACCAGTCGATGCATCTTTCCCTGGCCACCCTCCCTCTCATGTCCGTCCCGCCCCAGGCCTGCCCAGAATTAGCTGACTGTGCCCTCCTCTCAGCTCTCCTGGGGCTGGGCTGGAACTCACGTCCCAGCCATGCCTACCCCGCCCCCACCCAGACTTTTCTCCCCTCCCAGGGCAGCTCCACAGCAACTCAGATAAGGGGACAGGAGATGCAGGCCAGGACTCCTTGGAGAGGAAGGGATGGTTTCACTGGGCTTCACAGGTAGAGTAGGAGTTGGCCATGTGGACTGGTGGGGAGAAGGGAGGAGAGGCAGCCAGGCAGAGGGAATGGCTCAGAGGGGCGCCTGCCGCCCCTCTTCCAGACACCAGAGGCGTGACACCAGGAACATTGGCAGACTGATTTTCTCCTGCAGAGCCTGAGGCTGTTCAGCCTCTTCGTAGGGACTCTCAGCTGTGTCCACCCTGGTGCAAACCCCACCACTCTCTCAGGGGAAGAGCCTGGGTAGGCCACTGCACCAGCTCCCCATCTGTCAAAGGTGGAAGGATGCGCTTTTTTTTCCTGTATTTTATTCAGACCAGGAGACACTCTCCACAGGCACCTAGCACAGTACCCGGTGCTCCTACACGGAACCAGTCTGTCCTCCAGGACATAGAGAGGCTCCTGGGAGAACCGCGTCCAGACAGTTATGAGCCCAGGATGGGACTTAAAAAGTGACCTGTGTCACACAGCCTAGCCAGTGGAGAGGAGTGTAGGGGGGACAGGCATCTGGGAGGGGTAGGGCCCGGCTGGATCACCTGACAGAAGTGACTAAGGCTCCAGGTAAGAGCAGGGTCTCCAGGACCCCACCGTCCCCCTGGCTGGGAGATCTCTGGTCAGTCGCTCAAACAGCCAGCGGGAGACCCAGGGGTCAGAGAGCCCCGGCCCATCAATCCTGGCGCCTTCCTGCCCCAGCCAGCCACAGCTCTCTGCCTCCCAGCTGCCCTCTCTCCTTGGAGCATTTCCTTTGTTTTTCTTTTTTAAAAATGTACAAGGCCAAAAAAATTTTTTTGAAAGGAAGCACTATGAAAGTTTATGTGCTGCTTTCTGACCCCATCCTTCCTATTTTGCATGTGTGTATTTTCAGGACATTTCTCCACCTACAGAGCTGTCTTTCTAAACCCCCATAGGATGACATCCACCTCTGCTCCGAGACCTTCCATGGCTCCCCATTGCCATAGAGCAGAGGTAGCTTCCCAAGGCCTTGACAGCCCAGCTCCAGCCTCAGCAAGACAGCTCCTGCTTGTCTCCCCCTCACCCCCCCGAGCCACGCCCGGAGCATGTTACATCCTCTCGTGCTGCCACCGCAGCTCTGCCTGGGCCGAGCTGGCCTCCGGGAGCAGCCTGGTGCCCTCCGCTGAAATTCCTCCTCATTGCTCAAGCCCAGCCTTCCCTGTTCCCTGGCTCCCAGCCCCTCCCCAGGCCCCTTCTCTCCGGTGCCCCCACGTCCCCATGCTATGCTTTATGGTGGTCTAACTGTCACGAGGGTCTCCCTGGAGTCATGTGTTCTCACTCAGGAGCTTCTTGAAGGCCTGGCCCTGTGTCCCTATTTTTGTTGCCACCTACCTTGATGTCTTTCACATAGTAGGTGTGGCTCAGCTGCTTGGAGCATCATCCCGTCCATAAACCGAAGTGTCCTGGGTTTAATTCCGGGTCCGGGCGCTGGGGGGTTTGGTCCCTGGTGTGGCTCATGTGCAAGCCAGCCATGTTTCTCTCTCACATTGATGTCTCTCTCTCTCTTTCTCCCTCTCTCTAAAAAAAAGCAATAAAAAATGTCCATGGTGAGGATTTTTTAAAAATCCAACTTTCTTTTTCTTTAGGGATTCAGGCTCTAAGCCAGCAGATCAGGGTTTGAATCTTGCCTCTCTCATTTCCCAGCTCTGTGTTGTTAAAAAAAGTGAACTGACCTCTCTGAGCCTCAGTTACTTCATCTGGAAAATGAAGTTAATGATAAAACCTCCCTCAAAGCCCTGACCAGCGTGGCTCAGTTGGCTGGGTGTTGTCCTGAAGAGGTTCAGTTCCTGGTCAGGGCACACGACGGGGTCGCTGGCTCGGTCTCATGGGGGCACAGATGGAACCGAACAATGTGTCTCTCTCACATCAGTATTTCTCTCCTTCTCTTCCCCTCCCCCTCTCTAAAAATAAAAAAAAATTTTAAATGTTTAAAAATTAAAAAAAGAAAACAAAACCTCCCTCCATGAATAATGTGGAGGTAAGAGTATGTAAAACACGCAGCAGCAGCCCGAGGCAGAGGGCAGCTGGTATGTTCTACCCACTCACTAGTGTTACTGCTTTGTGTTTTCAGCCTCAGACTTGGCCAAGGTCACCTGTCCAGTCTGGGGCAGTGCTGGGACTTGGTCCCATCTCCTCCCACCCCAGTGATGAGCGAGGGTCCCAGGCCCATTTTGCAGGTAGATCAAAGCATGAGTCAGCCTGTCTGCCAGGTCCCCAGGTGGGTTCTTCAGGCCACTTAGGAAAGGGACTGCACAGCCCCAGTGAACCCCATCATCCTAACTGGGGCCTCTGTCCCTCTAGTGGCCAAGAATCAGCTAAGGGGGGCCCTAGGAGGCCTTGTGACCCTCATAACTGCGACAGTCACTAAATCAAACAGCACCCACTTTCAGGTGCAAGAAGCGGTTCTAAGAGCTCACAGTGACCATGATCCCATCTTCCGGGGCTCACTCAGACTCCTGGGGTGCAGGGCTTGCTCCAGGAGGGCCCAGCCAGCAGCACTTGGGCCACAGGCCTCCACTGACCACCAGGGACAAGGCCTGTGCTGGCCCCACTTTGGGACTGGAGCTGGAGGCTGGACGCTCCCCAAGGCTGGGGGCCCCCCACATCTGGCGGTGCCTCCCCGGCCCCAGCCTCGCAGTGCCTGCCCGACTTCATCTGCGAGCCGCGCCCAGACTCCCCAGCTCTGCCAGGGAGGCTGGAAATTTCTGCTCAGCAGCTTCTCTGGGGTGATTTCAACACCACTGGGGGGGGGGAGCCAGGCTGCTCAGCACTCTGCTCAGGGGGGACAGGGAGGGGGGCTCTGCTAAGCTGTGGGTCCCTCAGAAATAATAACAAACAACCAGCTCCGCCACCAGTGCCACGTATGGAGAGCTGTGTGTGCCAGGCCCTGTGCTCAGTCAGGACTAGCACGGCCTCACAGAACCTTCCAGAACCCAGGTGAGGCCGGCACTGTTACTCACCCACCCCACAGCTGAGTGAGAGAGGCTCGGAGTGAAGGCAGCCACCCCTGGCCACACAGTCAGGAACCAGGCATCACACTCAGGAGCATAGTTGATCCAGGCCACTGACTGGCTGGGAGCAGGCCCAGCTGGAAAGTGCCGGGTGGGGCTGGGGTGTGGGAAGCGCTGGGGGTCCCTAAAGGAAACTGAGGCACTCAGAAGTCAACCATAGCCTGACCAGAAATTCTGCAGTCCAGGCGAAGGCATGTTTAGACCCGGGTCTCTGTCAGCATCTAGAAGTGTCCTCCAGGGGTATACGCCCGGAGACCTCACGGGGTCTGGAAACTTCTCTCTACTACTGGTCCTGGTAAGCCAACAATTCCAGACACCTCCCACCCCACCGGCTCTGGGGCTGGGCTTGTCTGGCACCGCGCGGTCAGACGGACAGGCATGCTCACTGCCCTCCTGAGGCTGCTGGCAAGGGGCCCCGGTCAAATTCAGCAGTGGCTAAAGTGCCCCCGCTGTGTGCCTGGCTCTGAGCTCCCAGGGTTGTCATCGGGCCCGAAGGAACGACTGCGGGACGGGGCGCATGGAGAGTCTCAGGCAAAGCCATGGGGGGACGGGGGAGGTCAGACGCCTTGGGCCGGTAGCTGAGCGGCCCTGGGCTCCGGCCCCCCTGTTACAAGGGCAGCGCGAACCCTATCCTTCAGGGCAGGTGAGGATGCAGTGAGCACCTGGGGGATGGCGCTGGGGGTCAAGGGGGGCCACCCCAGGCCTCGCTTTTCGCTCCTCGGTGCCCCCCCCACCCCCAACGCTGCTCCCCCTCCCGGAGCCCGGCTGCCCGCCGAGGGCGATGCGTGCAGGGCGCGGCGCCGGCGCAGGCCCAGGCGCCCAGTTCAGCGGAAAGGAATGTTTTGCTCGGCGGGGGGAGGCAGCGAGGCCCGAAGCTGAGTACACCCCGTCGCCCTCCCTGGGCCTCATTTATTGCGGCTCTAAAGCCTGCTGGTTCCGCCAGCCCGGCCGCTCGCCGGGTCCGCGGCCTGACTCACCGCCCCCCCCCCCCGCCGTCGCCTCCCGCCTCCTCCTGTCCGCCACCATCAGATCCTCTTCAAGGTTCTCCCAAAGTTGGGGAGAGTCCCCAAACAGGGTACTCGCGCCCCTGCCCGCGGATGCCCCTGGCCCAGTCCCCACGCCGCCGCGGAGCGCCCTCCCCTCCCATCCTCTCCCCTCCCCGCGCTGCCCGCCCGCTCCCTGCCTCCCCCTCCCCCCCTCCATAACTCAAAAGCTTGTCAAGCTGGTTCCAGACTCCTGGCGCCGGGCTCCGCTCCAGGAAAGAAAAAAAGGAAAAAGAAAAAGGGAAAAAGCCGGCGCGAGGGAGCGAGAGGGCGAGAGAAAGGCCCACGGAACGAAACTGTGCGCCACTTGCGCGCAGAGCACAGTGGTCTCCGTCCCCCACCCCACTCCCCCTAACCTTATGGGGAAGCCCCGCACCCTGGGGGGCAGAGGGCGCGCACAGCACAGATCCATTATTTATGGTCGAATCAATTATTCAGCGGCCCCGGGAAGAGGCGGGGGCGGGAAAGCCTAGGGAGGGGAAGGTGGCTGCCGAGACCACCCCGCCCGAGGTCGCCGCGCTCCCGCAGGGCTTCGGGGGTCGGGAGGCGTCCCCACGCCGGGGGTCCTGTTGTGAGAAAGCTGCCTCGGGGTGGGCTCCGGGAGGAGCGCGGGGGAACCTACGGAAGCGGGAGAGACGGCTCAGAAACCTAATTAGACAGGGGGAAGGGTTGTGGGGGGGACAGGAGGCCGGGTGGGAGAGAGCTGGCTGAACGCGGACGGGCGTGGGAAGAGCCTGGCCCGTGAATTCTTTCCTTCCTTACTTCATTCGTTTCCATGTTTATTGTGAACCCACTACGCGCCACTGCGCCCACAGCAGATGGGCGGTAGTAGGAGAGAGCTAAGGGTGGGTAAGTGCTGTTAGAGCTGCGTCCAAATCGTGGTTTGTTTTGCATTCTCCCCAGCCCTGCGCTCATTGGCCAAGGATTTGCCTTCTCTGAGCTTCCACTTCCTTCTCTGCAGGATGGAAATGAGCCGAGTGAGGACTCCAGTGAGGACTATGCTGGTGGATATGAGGATTCAGTGAAGTTGCGCCCTGAGGCAGGGCCTGGCTCAGAGTGGGTGGTGGGAGGTGGGTCCTCTCCCCACCTCGAGGGGAGCATGTCCAGGCTCCAGTATCCCCACCAACTTCAGCTCTGGGTCCTGGGTAACCTGTATCCTCCCTGGATTTAGACATTTGAAGGTCATTATCAAACTCAAGTCAACCCCAAGGTATCTGCCCAGAGCCCTCGCTTCTGGCTGGCTTCTCACCAGCCAGGCCCTTCACAGGCTCCTACACAAGGCAACCAGGGGGGTCTTCCGGAGGCTCCACCTAGCCCCTCTTGCTCACTACCTCCCCTCCCCCTCCCAAGCCTCTTCCCCAGAGCTCTGAGGTCATGGGGACCAGGCACTGTCAGAATAGGAGTGGCCCTCCCCAGACTAATGTCACCAGTGTCCAGGGTGCCAGTGGGTTCTGTCCAGGCTCAGGATTGAGGAGCTTTTGTTTTCAGACACAGGCTTGTCAAGGGGTTCACGGTCTTCTCACCAAATCTTGCATCAGCTGTGTTAGGTGCGCTTGGGCAGATCCAGGCGCCCGCGCGTGTGTGTGTGTGTGTGTGTGTGTGTGTGTGTGTGTGTGTCGAGCAGGGGGAGGGGCTGAAGCCTTTACAATCTTGAGGACCCTCTTTAAGAAAAACATTGGCCCTGGCTGGTGTAGCTCAGTGGATTGAGCACAGGCCTGTGAAGCAAAGGGTCACTGGTTCGATTCCTAGTCAGGGCATATGCCTGGGTTGCAGGCCAGTTCCCAGCAGGAGACACAGTAGAGGCAACCATACATTGATGTTTCTCTCCCACTCTTTCTCCTTGCCTTCCCCTCTCTCTAAAAATAAATAAAATATTAAAAAAGAAAAATATTGCAAAATTTTATTAATGTACAATTAAGCCCAGGGCCTTGCCAAGAGTCCCTAGAACTAAAGCTTCATTAGCTTCTTGGTAAGTTGCCTCTCTAGGTGGGTGACCCAGTTGTCATCCCTTTGCAGAGGTGGAAACCAGGCTTAGGAAAGGGAAGTCCCTGGGCCACGGCCACACAGCTAGAAAGGACAAAGCCCGAGTTCGAGCCCAGGTCAGACTCTGCGGGCAGCACCCTGAACCCAGCCCACCTGTCACCTGACTTCCTCTGCTCCACACCACGTTTCCCGGTTCCCACCTCAGGCCAGGCGCGGTGAGGAAGAGCAGCCTTTACCTCCAGACTAGCCGGTGCCCCGCCCTCCCAAGGCCTTCCTGCCCCGAGGAGTCAGTCTGTCCTGTGATGACAACCACACTACCAGGAGGAAGGTCTCTTCTGACCTTCTGAGTCCCACTGTACCTGCTCGTACCAGATCTCAAGCTCCTCCACTAGCCCCAAGGGACCCTGCCACCCGCGCCCAGGAGGCGGTGAGCTCCCTGCGGGCAGGGATGGTTCCGTCTTCTTTGCAGAGCATTGCAGCTCTCGGCAAAGTGCAGGCACAGCGCGGTGGGCGCATTTGGCAGTACCGTCTATTCTCAGCTTGGGTGGGGGGGGTGCTCCGCAGAGAGGTCATTAAACTGCAGATGCCTGGGCCTCTCCACACTGAATCAGGCTCTCTTAGCAGAGGGCCTGGGACTCTGCTTTTTGTGACTCCCTGGGTGCATCTCAAGCTCAGTAAACTTGAGACCCACTGACCAAGGAGCCAGAAAGGGCCAGAACTGTGTCTAGACCGAGCCCCTCTCACAAAGGGGATGTATCTCTCCATTTCTGGCAGCTATTACTGGTGCACCAAACTCATCTTCCAGCTGAGAGCTAATTGTTTCTAGTGTTTATTAAAGACCTACTGTGTGCCTGGAAATGGATCTGAGGCTACAGATTGTTGACCTCACTGAACACTCACACAAACCCTGGAAAGTAGAGATGAGTATTGTCCCCATTTTACAGATGGGGCAAAGTGACTTGCAGAGGGGCGTGGTGGCTGGAATGAGGAGGCTGGAATAGGGACGCGGTCTGCAGGTCCATGAACCTCAGGAGTGTAGCTTGCGAGGGTCTTGTGACGACATCCAGTGATGAGAACTTAAGACAGCAGCTTGTGCATGGTGTGAAGAGATCAAACACACTACAGTCACAACAGGGACCTCAAGCTAAGATGTGCCTCAAAACCAGACAGCAGACACCAAAGAAATCCAACCAAGCAGGCCTCTTCTCCCTGGTACCTTTGGAGTCAGCTGCCAATGATGTGTTTGGTAGAGGGATTTCATGTATTTGCTTCAGGTGCATCCTTGCCTTTTCTCTGCTCGCAGTTCTGGTACAAAAGGGAAGGAGCCAGGCTATCAAGAGGATGGTGGTGGGCCGCCAGGCACTGCAGGCCAGCTGGCTCCCTGGGCATATCTGCAGGGCTGTGTCACTGTGCTTTTCCTGAGCCAGCGCCCTGCGCAAACTCAGCCTCTTGCCTCATCCAGGAGGGTGATCAAGACACGGGGGAGATTTCAGGTGGGAAGAAGCTTATTTAGTGGCCACTGTTCTGGGTGCCTGAGAGGCTTAGCTGAGGCAGAGGGTGTGGACTCCCTGGGAGGACTCGGAAGGCAGAACCAGGGAGGCCTCCCAGAGAGATCAGTTTGGCTTCACAAGATAAGCCACCTAATAGTCAGGGTTGCCTAGTAGGTAGTGAGCGCCCCACATGGGGAGGTATTCAAGGATGGTCAGTGTGTATGTACATGTGCCTGTGTGTGTACAGAGTCATGACTAAGGAAAAGGGCTGGCTGAGACAACTTTGAGAGCTTTTTCAACATTGAGACAAGAATTCCCACTTCTAACTTAACTGGCCAACCCGAGTGGGGCCGATAAGAAAAATTAACCGAGAGGGAAGGTGCCAGGTGAACGTCCCTAGACTGGCAACCGGCAGGCCCTAGATGCCCCTCCATGGGCAAACCAGGCCCCCAGCCCTTGGTCTTTCAACAGAACTGCAATGCCTTGACATTCAGATGTGTTTCTTCCCCTTGAAGTCATCTGTAAATGCCCATTATCCCTTCATTATTATGATTAATAATAATATTACTGGTAACTGACAATCAATAACCATAATTCCCATAGCACGAACTAAGCACTTACTGAGACAGGCTCTGTTCTAAGCTCTTTATACATATAAACTATGTAATTAGCACAACAGTCCTATAAGCAGTGTTCTTACTTTTACTACTGTTCCTGTTTCACTGACGAGGACCCTGAGGTCAGAGAGCGGACCTGCACAGCCCTGGGACTCAGAGCCAGGCCCGGGAAGGGGGCTGGGACGTGCTGGCAGAGGCGCAGGGGGAAGTGTGATGCCCTCAGTGGTCGGGGACTCTGGGCCCTCCCAGCTCCAGTGGTACAGGGCAGCAGAAACTGGGATGGGAGTGGGGAGATAGGGCAGCGTCTTCTCCAACTGCCACCTCTTGTACCAGGGAAAAGAGGGGGAAGATGCTTCAAGGTTATCAACAAGTCCAAGGGCCTCCAGGTCTGGTCTCCCCAGTCCTCCACATGGGCTTCCCCTACTGCACTCCCGCATCTCACTCCCCTTTAAAAATAATATTTATGAGTGATAGCACATCACTATGAAAACGTTATTAAAGGGACGAGGGGACCTGGCACGTTTTGAGAATTCACTATGTGCCGGACGA